GTCATTATTGAACGAGTCTCTGCGAAGGTACCACTTCTTTCCGGAGGAGCGCAACGGGTTACATCTCCGATCAACGAACGGCGATCGGTGGAAAAAGCCGCCGCCACTCGACTTCAAGACGTCGGAGAGCGGAGACGGCTGTCGCCCGATCTAGTAACCCCATCAGCACAATCGCTGTCGTCATCGTCGTCTTCAGCTAGTCCCAGCCCAGCGCCTGCAAAGAGTCCGAGCCCTGCTAGTAAAAGCCCTAGTCCAGAAGATTCAACTACCACGGAAAGCTCTATATTGGAACGAGCTGAAGAGCGTTCGGTTCCGACATCGGTAAGCGGTGGACTCCACACAAAGTCGGAGCGACAGCCAAGCGGCTACCTCGTCGAAAGACTTACAGCTGGTGCCGTTGTGGAACGACCTCAAAGTGTAGTTCAACCACAGAAATCACAAGAAATCTCATCCCAATCAAAGCATATTGCATACCCGGTGAGCCATTCACGAAGGCTTAGATTTTATTCCCATTTTCTTCATATATTATAACATTTTTTTAAAACATGTTATCCTTTTCATTCCATTGCTCTCCATTTAATTTTTCATTATTTTCTTTTCATTCCAACCTTTTGAATTGCATTTCACTTCCGTGTTTCGAATGTCTTTCATCTTCCCTATCTTCCCATACCTAGTCTTGCCTTCATGTTCATGCCGAATCACGTTGAAACAACGATCGGAAAGAAATCTTGAAAGATGAAGCAGCCGAAATGAAGCGTTTTACGATGGATCTGTCGTAGAATTGATTAGTGCGCAAATATTTTCGAGTAATTGCGCGTAATGAAACAGATGTCGTATACAATGTGTTCTTTCTACAAAACGCTATCTATTTGTCGTAAAACTGGAATGAATAGAATGAAATTGCGTTTCATTCGACTGATGCTCAAAGGAATTGATCGCAATCAAAATCGTAAAAATTCACTCATCACTTGCTAACAATAAGTATTCGGCCACTCCTTGCTGCGGATTCATACCAGATGTTTGTATTTGCTGATGCCTCCTTCTGTAGTTGCTTATCGTCCTCGTGTAATTTTATTGTCATTGTAAATATAGCCAAGAATGAAAGAGTATCGTGTTATTGCAATACATTAGGGTGATATTCTCTCGAATTTTATTCGAAATGCTCTAGTGTAGGGGTCCCTATGCTTGGGTACTCCACTACCCCCTTCGATGGTCTGGCAGCTCGTCATTATTCCTCTCCTGCTATAATAATTTATTATTTCCAAGCATAACGCCAGAACTAACTTCCCGCATGACCTTCTCTCCTCATTACTACATGAAACCCGCGAATTACCAAAAAATGGGTAATTTTCTCTTTCTATGGGGAACCCTGCTCTAATGAGTACGGGAAATGCGCTTGTGATAGCAGTATGCCTCATGATACTTTCTAGTTTTCCTTCTTCCGGTCATTGAATACCTCCTCCCTCGGAGTGAAACCAGTAAACATTCGTGGATATTTTGTGGTCACTGGATGATGTATGATCGCAAATGATTATGATTCTTATCGTATACAATGAGATATGAAAATTTTAACGATCCTCTATTCATTTGACATGAGTGTGTCGTTAACAGAAAACGGATTGAATAAAGAAACAGATATAGTTTGAAAATTCCAAATATTGCGTGAAACTTTTTATGTTAAATATTTTCATGTTGGAGAATATTTTGACTGAGAGTATCAATAAATATTGGTGAATAGATCAAGAAATGAAGCAGCATTTGAGCTTGTTGTGATGACGTTAAAAGGTGGTTGACTCTTGCGTTCGATACTGTATTCTTTTGGTTATTTTGCTTATTCATCTATTTATTTGTTTACGTTTTCATGAATTTCTTCGTTTTGGATGTGTCTAGGGCCTTTTCTTTACGTGTGAAACCGTGAATATGAATGAGGTGTGATCGAGAGAGAAGCAAAAAGGTGCAGGCTCATTGCAGAGTTTTAGATTGCTACGAAAAATGATTCATTTTGGAAAAGTGTTTGGTAATTTATGAGTGGAATAATGGCTGCAAAATTGTGTTAAGAAGCAAATGGTACAGAGGATTTATAATTTCTGCTCTAATAAAGATGAGAATCGCATTATAAAATTGACATCTTGGATGGGAGATGGGATTGGATTAAGATGACTCGAATTTGGGAGAAATCCGAGAAGGGTAGATTAGAGACGAATTGTGTTATGGGAAAAAAGGAAGGAGAAAAGATAAAAACTGCTTGAGATGGCGAGGATTTTGGCTGAAAACGCAGATTACGGTAGAATTGAATGAAATGAAGTGGAATAAATGGTGATCTTAGAAAAAAGTAGAAAATTTTGAAGAGCAAGTGGAAAATAGAGTGAAAAGTGGAAAATATTTACCGAAGGATTGGAATTTTTTAATGTGTTTAAATGCAGACAAATTTTGTCAGAGGTATAATTAGTGTACATTAAAGGATATGATTCAGGTATGATCTGAGTGGTTTTTTGAAGTGCGAATCAAATTTCATTGTATGTGCGGTTATTGGAGACGGAAGTATTTTTGTGTTGAATTTTATGGTGTAAATTAAATTGTTTACGTTCTCTTCCTAACTATTCTAAGTTGTGTCCCATTGAATGGTAAAATTAGTGAAAGAGTAGAAGTGGGAAATTTTAGGAATTCAAATAGTGGAATAGAAACGGGTGAATGGTTGTAAGAATGTTTTGAAGAATTTAGGTCT